TAAGGTTCATGTGGTTGTACTAATAAAATATTATGTTTATTTAGCTACATTTATTAAAATCAGTTATTTTACTACTTTCGCTTGCTTATCGAGCGTACGTGTACCTAGAAATGTGTACTTCTTCTCGGCTCGAATAAGTCAGCAGACGATCACTGTGTTTATAAACACTACTATGCTTTTAATCTCGGAACAAATTATGGTCATAAAAATACTATTTGTTTTGGGGCATTATATTAGTTTCAGTAATTTCGAGTACACTTATATCGGTACTTTGAATATTTTTGGCATTGGGTTAACCGATTTGTGTTTCATGAGTGTTAAGTATTGTTCTGATGCGTCACGTCCTTTCAAACAGTCTCTGCATATTTTCTTTAAATCTTTTACAGTTATGTAATCCTTCTACTTAGCTTTCTAAAAACAAATGCAGTTAATTCTTGCTTGGTAAAAGAAAAATTATGAGGATTTGTAAATTAAGTTGAGATAACGCAATAGGTCAACATTAATCTATTAATTTTTATTACAAATGAAAAACTGTTTTTACTTATTTTTATGTAACAAGAAAGCAAAAATGCTGACTCCCATTGTTTTTTGTTTTTTGTTTTTTTATTTGAAAAACGTTTTACAACGCGACCTTTGTATCGTCCATTACAAATTACTATCATCGTTTTATATATATAAGTGATGTTGGACATATACGAATACCTTCATTGGAACAAAGTATCACTTGACTTATTGATTCGAGATAATCTGATCCACAACCTATAACCGGCTATCGCAACTGCAGATACAGCAAATAGCACAGATCAAAATCACGATTGCGAAATACATTGTATTGTGATAGCAATACAAAAGACAGACAAAAATTGCTGCAAATGATGGCATAAACAATTGTTTTAAATGACAGACGTCATTACAAATCAAATTGAATATGCCTTATGATAGGCGGTAATAGGATGAGTGATTACTTAACAATATATTTAATAATTAATTTATTAGTACCGAGACTCTCACTTAGGTATATGAGACTAATATAGCAGCTTAAATATGTTAAAAAAACACGAAAGTTCGAACTTTAACTTAGCTATAAATAAACATTATTTTTTCAAATCATATTATAAGTAAACATAGAATAGAAAATGGAAACTGGAATGTGTCAAAGAGACAACAATTCGACCAAAGACAGCCGAAGACTTTCAATGTGTCTTCAACGCAGCGAGAAAAACCCCGCACCAGGAGGCGGGCTTCAATATATATTCTTGTTTCCAACAATGTGAATGTTATGATGATATTTAGGTACACATGATAATAATGAGTTAATAACTTACAGATAATATAAGGATATTTCTATTATATTCTTTATCTTTTCAAAATGAAGATAAAAAACAACAGCCACTCACTATGATATTCAAAGTAGTTGTATATAAATCAGAGAAAGAGCCAGTTATCAAGGTTTTCTTTTAGTTAAATTGATTGTCCGAATTATTCAACATAAACGTTGACGGTAAAATTCTTTTTTTTTCTTAGTGACCTTGCATATCAAAGAAAAATCAGATTAGATACAAGAACAAACTCAAAAATCTTTAGTGTAAAGACATCATATACAGTCTAAATAATAGTATGACCTTTTGAAATGCTAAAATATATCAATAAAACATCGACAGGATAATACGTGTTCGCAATGAAGAGTTAGTTATGTTTTGATTGATAAAAACAAATCAATGTTCAAAAATGTTATTTAAATTTAACTTAGAATTTGTGTATTCAAAAGATCAATAAGTTGACATGGATCGTATTTTACCATTACTGTACAATACATAAATAACACATAGCTAAGACGGTGATAGAGCAGATTGTTATCCCGAGAAAGTCAAGGTTAGAAATGTTTTTCGATAGGTTACAGTGTGCTCTATCACCTTCTCAGCTATGTGTTATTTAATTTATTATACTAAACGTTCTGTCATTATTGTCTTTTAAATTGGAAATTGAAAGAAAATAACTATGCCGTCATGTGCATAACAAAGTTACAGTTATTAGAAAAACATCACAAAAGCGAAACATTTTTTTATGTTGACAGTCTATGAAAAATTTGAACTTGAGCATTGTCTTAAAAATTATTGATGTCAATTCAATTCATTGTCCTTTAAATAATAGAATTTTGATTGGTCTACACGAGAAGGTGACATTCAAAATTTTTTCTCTCGCTAAGCCATGGGATAGAGTGATTTATCTCCCTAGTATAAGCCAATTAAAATCTGGCATGTTAATTTGAAGTATAATAAATTAGGATTGGATGTGTCGTTTTAATACGAATTCTACCGGTATAGTAAAAATTAAAAACCAAATCTTTGTATCTTTGAAATATTTTTTCTAATTCTTACCCGATTTATTGTTTTCCTAACCTGTTGATTATTTTTATTTAATCAACGTGTGGTTCGTTTGATCTCAGCTGTTCATTGGTCAAAATTCGATTATGACGTCTCATTTTCTTGCTTTCCTCTGAATTTCCTATTGTGACGTCATATAAAAAGGCGACCATTCCTTGTGTCGTCACATAGAAAGAGCACATCTTTTTTTTCAGAAAATTTTAAAATAAGGAATAAGTTTTTCCGCATATTGTATAAAAATCATTAGAGAAACTGATTCCACCATCAATGCAGTATATCATCAAGTTTATGAAACTTAAATTGATTGCACACATAATTATTCAACGTCATGGTAAACAAAACATTTAAATGAACCATACGATCAAAATGATACGTTATTAGATTACATAAATAAACAATTACCAATGCAAACATATAACGTTGATATAAAACTAAAATATTTTTTTTCTGTTGATTATAAACATTCTTAAAGTGAAGAGGACGTAATCGTATTTCATCACTTGTAAAAGCTATATAACGTGACATTAATTCCTGGTTACCTTTCTGATGACTCTCTGTTATCAAACTGACACAAAAGCAGTATTAGTTTAATTTTCAAAGGACATGACCATATTTGTCACTTGTGAAAGCTATATCACGTGACCTTACTTCCTGGTTATATTTTTGTTGTCTGGACCTGAAGTAGTTGTTGTGGAATATCTTAATTGAAAGACTGATTCATACAGTAGGTATATTACGGCTATTATAGTACTATATTAATGGTCATTGAATGACCGTTTTGATGAACTATGTTTTTTTTTATTTCATTTTCGGAAGAAAGTAGAGATATCTCTTCCATACGATCTGGTATAGCAGTGCTAGCGACATGAATGTCTTTTGGATATTTTTGTCTTTGTGGTTCTGTTTTTTTTTTAAGTGCATCAAAAATACCCTTTTAGCCAAAAGGCAATAAAAAGGGATTTTAGATGAAACTCTTCTGTTGTGTTAAAATCGAAGATAATTTACAATTTTATGTTCTCGTTATGATAACTCGGCGAAAATCTCCAGGGACCAGGATGAAATAATGTATAAAACACTGATTCTTCGTAGGGGACCCTGGTGAGAGCAGAGCTAACAATTCGTATTAATAATAAAATAAAATAAAAAAAAAAATATCCAATAATTTGTATAAAAGCTGACAAAATAATAAATCAGTGTCTGGTTCAACAAACAAGAAGGATGGGAAAATGTTGGTGTCATTTTTTACGTGAAAGCATTACAACTTGTATAGCACATAGATGTGTTTGTTTGTGCCTTATTTAAGAAAATGTACTTCTGGCGTTCACAATTTTAATCCTGGTATCTATGTATTTTACTGATCAATCTTATCCTCTGAAATGACTAGACCACATGTTACCAAACATTACCTTAATGGTCCTTAGGGTATCTAGTTTAAAAATTGTTCCGTTGATTGATAGCGTTTGATTTTGTCATTTGTATTGGACCTTGACTCAAACAGTCAAATGGACATAACATTATTTTGTCACTTTAAAAGATATATCACGTGACAGTACTTCCTTGTTACATTGCTGTCAACATACTGTTATTAAGCTTCCAAACATGATCTGTATGATTTGTTGTGACGTATTTTGGTTGACAAACTGAGTCTTACAGTAAGTATTTAGCGGTAATGTAAGTACTTTACTAATTGTCCGACATGAATGTTATGATAGATTTGTACTTTCGTTTTCTGACGAATGATAATATATCACTTAGATCAGGTGAAGCAGTGTAAGTGGCTTGATTGTCTTCGATTATTTGTGATATTATGATATTGTTTCTGATGTTTTTAATCACAAGGGACAATGCGATAGTATCAGACCGTATAAAGACTCAAACAGTCAAAGGGAAATAACCATTTGTTGTCTCTTGTGAAAACTGGGTGGTAACGTGTTGGACAAAATTATTTTTGAAATTAATTTATCCAATTTAATCTAACTAATGGTTACACTACTGTCATCAGGCTGTTAAAAAACTTGCAAAAAGGATCTAATGTATTTGTTGTGGTATATTTTGGTTGACAAACTGAGTCTTAAATATGGTATGTAACGATTATATCACTATCCAAAATAAAAGTGATCAATTTGTCCTTTCGTTTCCTTCAGAAAAATATATAATATATACCGCTTATATCTGGTGAAACAGTTTAAGTGGCATGGTTGTCGATTGGTTTTATGTGTCGTTCGGTTTCTGTTTCCTGCAGTATACCATAGTTGTCTTTTTATTAAAAAGAGACAATGCAAAATAGATTGTATTCCACAATATGAAACCCTCCTTTCTTATTGCTTCCTGTTGCCCAATGTACCACTCATTTCAAAGAGGTTTCGTGTACAAAAATTTAGTAAAAGAAATTTGACCTACCTCTATATTGCTTTGTTTCCATTCGAAAGAATCCCAAAAAAGCTTTTTATTTAAAAATGAATTATGTGTATCAAAACATGTTTGTCTCGAAAAAGCTGAAAATGAATGTCAACATTCCATTTTCATGTGAGGTGAGCGAGTGTATATCATCAAATGTTATCTGAATTTAAAACTCTTGACATTAGATTAAAACAAACGATTTTTTTTATGTTTCAGTTACAAATGGCGACATTCTTACCAAAATGCGATACTTGTATGACAGATGATGCCTCTGTTTGGTGTTCAGAATGTGAAGAAGTCATCTGTTATGATTGTGAAAAACAACATAGCCGGATAAAATTAACAAAGAAGCATAAGACAATACCTATAGAAGATTACCAGAAACTTCCTAGTTCTGTTGCTGACATAAAACAGGAATGTAAAGTTCACAATAAAATTTTTTATTTTTACTGCTTAATTCATAGCGAGCCATGTTGTGTGTCATGCGTGTCTCAGGAACATGACACGTGTAAAAATTTGAAGCCATTAACGGAAGTAGTGGACGGTGTGAAATCGTCAGCTGCATTTGAAGATTTAGAAGATAGGGCAAAGGACATTAGTGAACTTATCGGCAATCTGATAAAGAATAAACAAGATAATAAACGAAGTTTGGCATTTCAGAAAAATAGAATTATTTCCGAAATGCAAAATGTCCGAAAGACCATAAATATTCATTTGGATAAACTCGAAAAGGATCTTTTGGGTAAATTAGATAACGAAGAGAAAAAGCAATGCAAAAATATTGACAGTTTAATTGAAAAGATCTCAAAAATGGGTAAACATGTCGATCAAATAGTAAACGATTTAAAACAGATCAAACAACACGCATCTGATTTCCAAACTTTCTTTGGTTTACATGAGTGGAATAAGAAAATAGAAAAGGATGAAAAAGATTTGATGTCTCTACAAAGCGACAAGATACTTGATAGTGCTGACATTCATATAGAATATTCGCCGATACTTATGAAGTTTGAGACATACGTCAAAGAATTCGGAAAGTTAGAAGTTAAGTCTTCTTCCTCAAAGAAAAATGTTCTAAAGAAGGAGAAACCGGGACAGATTATCGTTCCTATTTCTAACACTGTAGATAACATTAAATTGACAAGTATTCGGTCTTTCAAGACACCAGATGGAGTATCAAGCAACATTTTTATAACAGGTATCGATATGTTCGACGACGGCAGAATCGTCTTTGCAGATAACCAACATTTAAACAAAAGACTTGTTATCATGAATCGTGAAGGCAACTTTATAAAAAACATACAACTTGACGATAGGTGTTTTGATGTTGCAGTGATAGATAAAGACACAGTTGCTTCAACATTAGTTGAAAAGAAGAAAATTGTTATCGTTGATGTTAATTCGTCAAGAGTTCAACGGTATATACTTTCAAGTGCGGAATGTTACGGTATAATTTTTTCAGGTGAACAGTTAGTCGTCAGTCTTCCCAAGACCATTCAGTTTGTTGATCCTTCTGGTAATAGCTGGTCAACGTTGTCAACAGTCAATAAATCCATGTATTGTTCCGTGTTAGATGAAAAACTTTATTATACCTCACACAATAGTGAAGCCGTCTATTCGACTAAATTGAATGGAGAAGTTCTTTGGAAATTTGACTGTCAGAAATATGATTATCCGACTAGTATAACCAACGATGCGTCTGGAAATATTTTCGTAGTTTGCACCGAAAGTGATCGTTTGATGGTATTAGGAAATGATGGGAAGACATATACAATTCTCCTGACAAAAGAAAATGGATTGCAGAAACCTAGAGCCTTACATTACGACCGTAAATCCAGTACCCTCTGTGTGTGTACTTTATCTGGACAATGCTTTCTTTATAAAGCTACAAACTGAATTATTTTTGTTCATACCGTTGAAAAAAGCTTTTGTATACTGTACATATTTTCAGAAATTTAAGACAAATAGCAGCATGATAACTTACAACAAAAAGTAATCTTCTAGATCCAGATAATGATAAGTCTTATGACAACTATGTTTAACATACACTCATGGAAGAAGGAAAACAAGTGTGCATGTCTTATTTGTTTGTACTATTTGTACATAAACAGATGAGTAAGATAATCAAATATTTAAGGATTACTTTGAAATTATATGAAACAACGAAAATAAAAAAAAATGTTTATAAAATTGGTCAAGAGTATAGAATAGTGAATGGAAACGGGAAATGTGTTAAAGGAACAAAACCCAATTAAAGAGCAGAACACAGCCCTAGGCCAGATTATAACGCAACGAGAAAAGAGGCGGACATCAACCCTAAACAATAATGTATATCATTGGGTTATTTTTTGTTAAAAATTCAAAGACCCCTTTACTGTTTTGATGACTTGTTATCTAAAAAGATATTTCACATGATGACTTCGAAAAAACTTCCACTTGTACAAGATATTATATGACAAGCAAGTTTTCAGCAATTATTTAAAGTGTACTAGATATTAGTTTGCACTTTATGGAAATATTTAAGAGTTTTTGTTGGTTTTGTTTAAAATGTGCATTGTTTGGTTTTCCGTTTTTTTTTTGGGTTTTTCTGCGTGTTTTGTTCTTTTTTGTGCTATTTGTGTTGTCCGGTGATTTTCTTGTTGATGAGGCTTTTATCTGAAAGAAGCTGTTTGTAAACTGTTGAGGCAGGTATTAAGGGAAAACAACTCATACCAAGGTAACATGATATAGCGTAACAGGGAACAACATTTGCTCTTTCAGGACACTGGATAGAGAATCCATCGAAATATCAGGTATCGATATTTTTGACAACGGGAGAGTCGTGTTGGTCGATAACAATAACCAAATGTTACATAGCAGACTTGTTATCAGGAATCAAAATGGCAGGTTTATTAAAACCATAAAACCGGAAGATAGAGCATCCAGATTTTCTGATGTTGCAGTGACAGACAAAGACGTAGTTGCTACAATATTGTTATCGTTGATGTTAATACATTGAAAGTACAAAGGTATTTACGCACACGTTACGAATGCTTTGGTATAAACTTTATAAATACTTTTTGTTGTCAGTCTCTACAATCAATTTCTTTGATCTGTCTGGTAATTTTTTTCAACTTTGTCAACAGCCGTTCACTCAAGGTATTGTTCCAATTTTAATGACAACCTGTATTATACAACACGCAGTAGTGATGTACATGTGGCCTTTGCATCTGAATTAAATGGAGACGTTCATTTGAAATTTGACTGTAAGAAATCAGCTCATCTGATTAGTATAACAAACGGTGCATCTGATGGTATTTTCGTAGCATGCATGGATAGTAATCAATTGTTGTCATAATGAAAATATAAAAAAATAAAGACTGAAAACACTAACTCTACACAATATCAGGTTCTCTGAAAAGGTAAGCAGATCCTGCTCTATATATGGCAACCGTGAATGAGGGTTTTATATATTTTGAAAACAAAAATTGCAAATTTCATTATCTTATTCATAAAAGTATACTGCAAAAGGAAAAGATAGGCACACTGTTTTCTATCTTCCGTTTGTCTATTCTCACTTTTTTGATATAAGACTTGATTCTGAAGACATACTAGTAGTTTGGACTTTCAATGACTGATTTTTGATTTACTTTGCTTGTATTGTTTTGTTTTGTTCGTTTGTTTGTTTGTGTTGTTTTGTCTGTTTTGTTTCTGTTATTTTAACACATTAAACGAATGAACAACAACTGTCATATTTCTGACTTGGTACAGGCATTTTTTATGTAGAAAATGGTAGATTGAACCTGGTTTTATAACGCTAAACCTCTCACTTGTATGACAGTCGCATCAAATTTCATTATATTGACAACGATGCGTGAATAAAACAAACAGACATAAAAGGTAAAAATGTCAAAATAGGGGTACAGCAGTCAACACCGTGTCACAATTTTAATCACAACAAAAACAAACAAATATTTAACAAAGAAGCACAAAAAAGCATATATCACATTTAACAACCTCGTTTCATTGCTTACTTATTTTTGTATTTTATATATGTTTGCCAAATCAACCCATTAAGGATCGAATGATTTTAAGCACTGGGACCGAATCGTTATTTTAACATTAACTCTGGCGTAGAATCGCGTGTTTGACGTCAGAATGTTAACGTCACACAGGTAGAGATATAAAATAATTTTGTCGTTCAAAGTATACAAAAACTATAATAGAACAATAACACAATGGCGGGATGTTTAAAATACAGAGACACGTCAAATGTATATCACCAAAAACAGACCAAACAGTACAAGTAATATTAATAAAGACAAATAAAATAACACTTTAACACGTTATTGAGATAATAAACAGCGTCAGTACACAGAATCTATACTTCAAAACCATCATGTATTATTTGTGAAGTTGATACTGAATAATAATATATTTATCAACAAGGTATTGGTACCTTCCGATGAACTTTTTTTAGAAAAAGGACGAGACGTTCTTTGACTTACCCCTGGTTCATCAACTTTCTGCTCAGACACGGGTGACGTTTTACAAAGTCTGAGTAGTAACTGCAAGCTCTTGCATACCGAATAAGTTGGGAAATGTATATCCCATATGCAGTTGAAGTTGGTATATTGCTACTAAGGTGGGGGAAATTGATAATTCTAAAATTAAAATCGTCTCGTTTGTCATAGATTCTGGCACTGAGATGACTGTGTATGTCAAATTCGAGGTATAAGTCTAAAATGAGGCGGAGGAAGCCGTGTCTGTTGTTTCATTAATTTCTAGTTCTGGGGGAAATATTGATAGAATCCAATCAGAAAAGTTCGGATTGTTAATGGAAAGAACATCATCAACATATAAAGTGAAATTAAATAATCTGGCTTCCTTGATCTTCTTATTTTTAACAAGTGTCTGAAGGAACTCCGATTCATACGAAAATAAGAAAAGATCGGCAAGGAGAGGTGCACGATTCGTTCCAATAGGAATGCCGACAATTTGTTGAACAAGTCTACCTCCAAATTCAACAAAAATGTTGTCGATAAGAAACTCCAGCATACTGATCACTTGTTCCTCTGTATAGCATGTTTTACCCTTTTGTTCGCTATTAACAAAACTTGCCTTATGGTATCCCAAAGTAATAAATTTATAGCGTATGCTACCATTTTTATGTTGAAAGGCATTGTGTATTATTACTTTTAGACGATTTTTCAATTTCACATGGGAATTGGTGGTATACAGAGTTGAAAAATCAAACGGTTTGAGAGAACTAATTCAGGAAAAGACCGATATTTAAAATTATCCAGAAGTTCTTTAGAATGTTTAAGAATCAACATATGATTAATACCACTACGCGAGTAAACAGTTTCACAGTATTTTTGAAGATCCTCTGTCAGTGCGGACAGTATTTTAGTCAATCTGATGGACAATTCTTTGGTGGAACATGCAGATGAGCCGGCAATGTACCGTTGTGTGTACGGAATTTTGTGAAACTTAGGTATCCAATACATACAAGGTAAGTCCTCTGATTTGTTGTTCAATGTAAAGTTCATTGAAGCCATGAAGGACTTATGATTCGCCAAAATCTCATCCTTGTCAAATAATATGTCTGTGTATGTGGGATTAACATATTATTAGTTTGACAATACAAACTCTTATCAAGATGTACGATTTTGGTTTAGCGCAATCTACAGTCTTTAGTTTTCTTTGTTGTGTTTTATGTACTATTGTTTGTTTGTTTGTCTTTTTCTTTTTTTTCCATGGCGTTGTCAGTTTATTGTCGACTTTCGATATGAGTTTAAATGTCCCTTTGGCATCTTTCACTTCTCTTCTACATGTAATGAGTCAATCCTTTTCAAACAGATTTTTACATTTTGTTCTCATGTTGATCTGTTACTTCATGTGACATACATAGGTACGGTTGAGGGTACGTGCTGTTCCGAACCGGAAGCCTGTAATCCATTCGGTTTCCTTTATTTCTGTCGGCAATAACATTTTTCTTTTATAATTTGTTTTACACTTCAACAATAACTAAAACTAATACGGCATAATACATAAGTTATAAAACGCATACCGTATAGCAAGTAGGCTATAAACATATACCATAGAGTTAGGAGCTATCCAACTCATACATAAAGTGAGGATTATTACAGGTAAGTTACTATTGAGTTACGATTATCTTCCATAAATTTTCGATGGCTTTTGATTTGGTGACAAGGCCATTAGCATGATTATTATATGATATGATATGAAGAATACAAACACACAACGAAACCGAACAGATCAACCTGGTGGCTGAGTAAAACAGCAGGTTTACACGGAGAAATTATCAGAAAACGATCATGCCTATTTCTACCTCCGCCATGTTGTTATCGAAGTAACTGCGGTCCCATCGATCAGTTTAACACCAGTGGTATTGTTATCAGGCTATAAAACACATATCGCCAATCGCAAAGTAAGCTGGTTATTAAACTCATATCTTATAGTCAAGAGGCTATGAAACTCAAGCTGTTATGTAATAAGGCAATACAACTCAGACTGTATAGTAAGCAGACTAGAAATCATATACCGTATAGTAGCCAGCTTTAATACTCATACCGTATAGTAATCAGACTGTAAGTCCCCGACAACCCAGTAGCCAGCACTTCGGTATTGACATACAAAAAAAACATTAATTGATTGAAATTTGCTGTTATAAAACTTTTAAAATCATTCAAATTAAAGATTATATCTTCTTTTTTTTTGAAATACAATATACAATCAACATTTACCATAAGTTTTAACTTGTAAAATATATAGACTATATCTACGGTCTGTGTTTTTGTTACTTGTTTTTCTGTTGAGTTTAGCCATTTTCAACTGATTTTTATAGTTTGTTCATATATTATACTGTTACACTACTGTCTCAGGTTAGGGGAAGGGTTGGGCGCCCGCTAACATGTTTAACCCCGCCACATTCTGTATGTGTCTGTCCCAGGTCAGGAGCCTGTAATTCAGTGGTTGTTGTTTGTTGCTGTATTTCATATTTGTTTTTCGTTCATTGTTTTTTTACGTGAATTAGGGCGTTATTTTTCTCGGTTGAAATATTTTACATTTGTCATTTCGAGGCCTTTTATAGCTGACTATGCGGTATGGGATTTGCTCATTCTTGAAGGGCGTATGGTGACCTATAGTTGTTAATTTCTTTGTCATTTTGTATCTGGTGGAGATTTGTCTCATTGGCAATTAACCACATCTTCTTGTTTTTATATATCTACAAAGCAACTCATAACGTATAGTAAGCAAGCTATATAAGTCATGTCATATAGTAGGCAAGCTATATAATTAAAACTGTAGAGTAAGCAGGGTTTAAAACTCTGTTTGACAGTTGTCTCATTGACAATCCTACCAAATCTTCTTATTTATATATATTAAATTAATAGTTAAGATCCATTTTGTTACATATGGTGATCCGTTTATTTGGCAATCGCCAATGGCAGTCAGCAGGGTTTAAGAACATCCGTTGTTCGACCTGCTAGTCAAATGCGTTTTGTTAAAAAATACTTTTTCACTTTTTTGGTCTTTTGGAAAATGTTGTTTGTGCTGTATTTAGACCCCTCTACCAAGAAATTTGTTTTGCATGCACACGTATTGCGGTTTTTATCTAACGCAATCATAGGTTTGAACGTTGTTTTCAATTTAGACTTATAGATATATATAAAGCTCATACAATATAGTAAGCAGGCTGTTATACAAATACAGTATCTTAAAAGCAGGTATTTAGCTCATGCCGTATAGTAAAAAGGCTATAGCTGTATAATAAGTAAGCTATACAAGTCATGCCATATAGTAGGCAAGCTAAATAATTCATACCGTATAATAAGCAGGTTTTAAAACTCATATCATATAGTAAGCAGCCTATAAAATTCATATCGTAAAGTAAGCAAGCTATACTTCTTATACGTTCAGGTATTTCACATCCAATTTTTTATGGAAATATTCTTTATAAAGCACAAAAATGTCAGTATTCACCTCTGAAACTAACAAAACCTTTAAATAGACTTATTAAGAAGGGATATAGTTACGATACTGTTGTCAGGTCATTAAAGATTGCATATTTTGGCGTTAATATTGATTCACTTATAGGGTCTTTGCATCGGCACTAAACACATTTATTTAAAAACCAGTTGTTGGCATGACACGGGTTATGTTCTTCTCATATATGTTATGATGGTATGATACTAAACCCCTAACGGGAAGGATTGTGCCTGATATTCATATGATGAAGACATAATCTTTCAATCAGTTTAATTGAAGTCTGGAGCTGGCATGTCAGTTAACTGCTAGTAGTCTGTTGTTATTTATGTATTATTGTCATTTTGTTTATTTTCTTTGGTTACATCTTCTGACATCAGACTCGGACTTCTCTTGAACTGAATTTTAATGTGCGTATTGTTATGCGTTTACTTTTCTACATTGGCTAGAGGTATAGGGGGAGGGTTGAGATCTCATAAACATGTTTAACCCCGCCGCATTTTTGCGCCTGTCCCAAGTCAGGAGCCTCTAGCCTTTGTTAGTCTTGTATTATTTTTAATTTTAGTTTCTTGTGTACAATTTGGAGTTTAGTATGGCGTTCATTATCACTGAACTAGTATATATATTTGTTTAGGGGCCAGCTGAAGGACGCCTCCGGGTGCGGGAATTTCTCGCTGCATTGAAGACCTGTTGGTGGCCTTCTGCTGTTGTCTGTTCTGTGGTCGGGTTGTTGTCTCTTTGACACATTCCCCATTTCCATTCTCAATTTTATACAACTCTTATCGTCTAATAATCAAGCTATATAACTCGTACCGTCTAGTAAACAAGCTATTAAACTCATACATTATAGTAAGCAGGCTATAAAATTCATGCCATATATTAAGAAGGCTTTGGAGTTCATATCATATAGAAAACATGCTATAAAACGTATACTGTTGAATAATCAGGCTATATAACTCTAACGGTATAGTAAGCAGGTTGTCAAAATCATACTGTAAAATACGCAGACTTTGAAACTCATAATGCATAATAAGCAGGCTATAAAAAGCATACCATATAGTCAGTAGACTATCAAACTCGTCGTTTATTAATGAAGCTACATAACTCGTACCGTATAGTATGAAATACATAAGGTCAATACAGAAATAGTTTGTATTCAGAAGTCTGAATTTGAGGATAAAAAACACACAGACTGGTAATTAGTTAACACCTTACCGATTTTTTAAAGATATCCCGTAAAATATATCTTCTATAACTATTCATTCTTTTCAGATTCAGTGCGCAGAAGTTAGAAAAAAAAAAGCAAATATGCAGGGTTCAGTACAGACTTTTATCTGCAAACCATGGAACATTGAAGTTGAAGATGAAATTCAAATTTGTTTTCTTCCCTAATTTCCTGGTTTGGAAAAACAAATGATATTTTATTAATTAGCATAACCATTTGAAACCTCTTATTAACTCTGGTAGATTATATTCAACATATTTATGCCTGTTGCTGGTCATATATTAAATGTTTGACAATGTATATATTTCATTTGTTTAATTGCCAAATTAACTAATGAATCTGTAATTCAACTTAATTCCACTGCTTATCCCTGAACGTTATAGTAGATAACAAAAAACTTAGAATTGAATTGAATAGTATCAGACCGTTTCTGGACTCAAACTGTCAAAGGAACATAACCGTATTTTGTCATCTGTGAAAGCTCTATCACGTGACAATACTTCCTGGCTATATATCACGTGACAATACTTCCTGGTTATATATCACGTGACAATACTTCCTGTTTACATATCACGTGACAATACTTCCTAGTACATGTCACGTGGCCATACTTTCTGGTTACATATCACGTGACAATACTTCCTGGTTACATAACTATCAACAGTATGTTATAACATTTTATTTGGTGTGACATTTATTGTAGGAGTCTTAAAGTAAGTACTTAAAAGTTATTTAATAGAATATAAAAAAAGATGTGGTATTATTGCATGTTATGAGTGAATTAATGCATTTGTTTTTTGAAGAAAAAAAAACTATATCGCGTAGATTTTATTTAATAGATATGAAATATACACCAAACTTACATTTTCAATAATTCGGATGAAACTGTATCAATAGTCTTTCTTTTTTTCAAATTTCGGTTTATGGAGAAAAGTAAAGTAGAAAAATACCGAACTCCAAGGAAAATTCAAAACGGTAAGTCATTTATCAAATGGCAAAATCAAAAGCTCAAACACATCAAACGAATGGAAAACATCTGTCTCATATTTCTGACTTGCTACACGCATTTCCTTATGTAGAAAATTGTGAATTGAAATTGGTTTTATAGCTAGCTAAACCTCTCACTTGTATGACACTCGCATAGAATTCCATTATATTGACAACAATGTGTGAGCAAAACAAACAAAAATAATAGGTAAAACTTATACCTAGCAATACAAAATGTATATCAGTACCTTTAGAGAAACTCTTTGGAACAGAGGTTACGACAGAATCATAATATACATTTTATCTACTTTTCTAGTTTTGGGTGTTTAAAAAAGAATTTTTTTACTTATGATAATTGAATATCCCTTTGGCTTCTTTTGCCTCCCTCCTTGACTGAGATATATATGAGGATTATTGTTTGTCATTTGATATTTCAACTTATCCAGTATTTCAATATATAATTTGGAAAATATTGACAAAAAAATCTTAGTTTTTATTACATTGGACAAATTTCCCGTTTCCTGTTTCAGACGTTTCATGAAAAAAAATATATATTTTGGCTCAAAGTAGTAATTTCCTGTCATTAAATGTTATCAGTTTCCGTATTCACTCAGACTTGTCATGTTTAAAATTAATCAACATTTGACAATTGTTTCATTTTTCAACAGATATATAATTATGATAAAATGTTAGATTTTCGCCTTCAGATACTAATGTCTGTTCATAATTTTTTTAATTGCCTCATATAATCATGGACGAGATGTTTTAAATAGAGTTATATCGTAATAGAATATTTTCCTCAAATAATAACTTAAATATTATAGTTTCCAAGTGTTTATCAATTTCAAAGAAAAAGATGTTTTTAACCAAAACTCAACAATTTCTACCATTATTAACTTTGCAGACTTTAAGTATATCAAATAAACTGACTTCCTTGACACAAAAACACTCAAGACGTTTATCTTTCAATATTAGGAAATTTTACGGACGCCATCACGAGTTGGTTGACCGTTATGGAATAACCGTTTCACAGATGATATCGGATATGTTCCTTATGTCGTAACTACAATACCCTCCCTTTTCACAAATGTGACTTACCGAATTAGACTATTTACCGGATTTGTTATAACATAAGCAACACGACGGGTGCCACATGTGGAGCAGAATCTGCTTACCCTTCCGGAGCACCTGAGATCACCCCCAGTTTTAGGTGGGTTTCGTGTTGCTTAGTCTTTGGTTTTCTATTTTGTGTCATCTGTACTATTATTTGTCTGTTTGTCTTTTTATTTTTGGCCATGGCGTTGTCAGTTTGTTTTCGATCTATGAGATTGACTGTCCCTCTGGTATCTTTCGTCCCTCTTTCATTGTTGTCTATATAAACCAATAGTTACCATGATTAGCAGTTTTTACGCCAGACGCACGTTTTGTCTTCTAAAGTCTCATCAGTGACGCTCGAGTAAAACAAGTTAAAAAGATGAAATGAAGTACGAGGTTGAAGAGCATTGACGACCCAAATTCCGAAAGGTTTTGCCAAATACAGGTACTGTAATATATTCCTGGGATAGAAAATCTTAAGTGATACCCTTTCCGTTGGTAGATATCTTTTGATTATGTCAGATTTTACGGACTTCACTCTTTTTGAATTGAATTTGGGGTATGTTTTGATAATTCTTTTTTTCGTTAAAACTATGTAACTTACAAACAGTAATGTTTAAAACCGGGAAATGTGGAACGTTTTTCGAGATTTATTTTTATATCGACGTCATACAAACTACATGTTGTTGCTGATGATTTGCTTTTATGTTGGCATGATTTGTTAGAAGGTTAAGTACTTTGAGTTGATTTCAGTAACTGCGAGTATTCTATAATATGGTAGAATTTGACATATGTAATATTTTGTGTTTTTACTAGCATTACGTTATTTCAGAGTCCAATAGTTTTGATTGTATGAAATTTTATGTAAGTTTGGTGAGGCTAATCATAGAGATCAAAGTGAGGGAAGATTACACACTAAAGCAGGCTAATTTAAAACTGCCACATGTAAATACAAGTCCCAATTCATTAACCTTGCCGCTTCATATGTCATATCTTAATGTTTGTCGTTATGTGGAGAATTGGTTGTTTTTTTTTATTGTTTTGGTTAAATTGATTAACAAGTCTTACATACAAGGGACTACTGGAAGCTTCTTAATTTGTTCAGAAATAGATTGTTTAAGATTGTGTGCTGCACCCTTGATATCTTTTGGTTATTTTCGTCCTTGGGTGGCTGTCTCCTTGACATTTAAACCACATATACTTTAATTCAAATTAACGGTGAATTTGATTAGGTTTTTTTTCGCAAGTGGTTTGTTGTCTCAGTAAGATTTATCTAACATCTGTTATTCATAAGAAGATATAAAAAGATAAAAAGACGTGTTATTCTGGCTGCCAAGTCGACCCTCGTTTACCCTAACCGTGTTTTTTTTATTGTGAATTGGAAAAGTACAAAGGTTAGGAATTGTCTTTTGATTATTTGTAAAGTTACGATTCTGTTTCTTTTTAAGTATAAAGAATTTTCATTGTTAATAAAAAAAAAATAAAATGGTATCAAACCGTATCAAGACTCATACAGTCAAAGGAAAATGACCGTATTTTGTCACTTGTTTCAGACCTTATTAAGAATCAAACAGTCAAAGGGAAATAACCGTCTTTTGTCACTTGCGAAAACTTGGTGTTGACCCATAGAACAACATTATCTTTATTATAAAATATTGTAAACAAACCGAGAAGGTATTTCACGGTTATTCAATCGTCTAACATGAATGTTATGATTACAAAAATAAATAAATTAAAAAAGACAGAAAACATACCGCTGATATATAGTGAAGCAATTTAAACGGCATGGGTGTCTTATAGTTATTTGTGTCAGTGGGTTTCTATTTTTAAGTATACTTTAGTTTTCTTTTTATTCGAAAGGGACAATAAAAAATTGATTGTATTCAATAATATCAAGCCCCTTTCCAGTTTTCCAATTTAAATACATTTATTTGTGTCCATTCTCCTTGAATAAAAACATTCAGCATTCATCTCCGTAGAGCAAGGAGGAAATGATTATGAGACAAAGATTCAAGGAACCCCTGGTTAGAGCAGACCTATCTACAAACAGACAAATAATAGTACAGATAACACAACATAGAAAACTAAAGACAAAGCAACACGAACCCCACCAAAAATGGGGGTGATCTCAGATGCTCCGGAAGGGTAAGCAGATCCTGCTCCACATGTGGCACCCGTCGTGTTGCGTATGTTATTACAAATCCGGTAAATAGTCTAATTCGGTAGGTCACATTCGTGAAAAGGGAAGGGTATTGTAGTTACGACATAAGGAACATATCCGATATCATCTGTGAAACGGTTATTCCATAACGGTCAATCAACTCGTGATGGCGTCCGTTAAATTTACGAAGGGATGATTTCAACTTCACCATTTGGAACTCTTGATTTAATAGCTTCCTTGTGAGCAGCAATCCTCTATCAAGGAAATCATGATAGGAAATATAAGCCCGGGAATATCGTATCAATTGGGAAACAAATATTCCGTATGCAGGCGCTGCTGGAATGTTGCTACATAGAAATGAAAAGTTCACAATTGGGAAGCTGAAATCATCTCTTTTGTCGTAAAGTTGTATCTTAAACCTCGACAGTAGCATTTTAATACCATTTGCATTGATTGCATACATAGATATCACCTAGTGTATTATTTGTATGGACAAATATATCTAATAATTTCATCTAAAGTTATCTAGTTAATTGTACCATTTTTTTAATCATGAACTTATACTATACTAACAAACAATCAATTAAATGTTTCTTCAAATATTTTATTAAACGTTCTACATATCAAAACTCGGGTTCTAACTACACCTGTATATACCGTCATACACATACTTTTTTAAATTGTGGCTAGCCTATTACTAAGGAAGCAAATATCAGACTTGTTTTCAGTGAAGATACAGATGAGTGCAGTCCTAACCCGTACAAACGTTAACTTAGAGCAGACATGTTTTTAGTGAATATAAAGGGTAACACGTAGATTTGATTCTTTATAGATGATGAAGCTCTTCTACCTATTCGTTATAGCTATGTAACAAACACTAAATAATACATAGACACATATGTGAAGTGAAGACAGCATGTTGCCTTCTTGTTGTCTTTTGATTATTTTCATCATTGGTTGGCTGTCTAAATTTCGTATACCCACGTCTCCTTTTATTCATATTTGTGTTGAATGGGATGAGGTCTTAAGCAGGTTTTTTTTCACGTGTTTAGTTTCTATAAATCCCTTCCTGGCTTTCAAATGTTTGTTGCTTGAGCGTTCCAGATAAAGGTAAATCCTAGAAAGCACTTCGGACACCCGAAATTTATAAAAATGTTATTTTAATTTTCCCACCATCTTGTATTCATATTCATATGACAGACGAAAACAATTGTTGTTTCTGATTGCCAAATTGACATTATAACACGAGTCTTTTTTGTATAGCAGATAGAATAAGAATTTGGATATGTTTTCCCCTTTAAAAGTCGAAATGCAACGGCAAGCTTTTGCAACCACTGGTTATCCATCGTCCATCCATGACCAGTGTGTAAGCTGTCACAAGTACTATTTTAACATTTGGAGTATGGCATTGAAATGAGATAGAATAAAAAGCAGTTACATTGTGTAACATCTTGTTACCTGTTATAAAATTTGCTGGAACGATATAAGTCAACAGTCAATGTATTTTAGCATGACTTCTATAAAATGTAGCGCTTAATTGCATGTAAGGTACATCAATCGGTCTGTTAAAAGAATTCTCAGCTTTCAAAATATTAGATTTTTATTCTCACCAACAGATGAATAGAAATGTAGATTTTTTTTCTTAACATTCCAACAAGATTTGGCAAGAACAAAATATATCAATTCATTGTATGTATACACATTGGTAGCCATATAAATAATTGATTGGTTGAGACTAACAGATGTTAAATTAAAAAAAACACACACATCGTACTCTCCTCTGCCGTGCGAGAGATAAAGCGCATATTTTTTTATACGTTTTGTTTCCCTTGCCTTTAAAGAGTTATGAGGCTTTTTTCACCCAATAATTTTTTTCCCGGCATCTTTTTTTATATTTGATGGGGGGGAAGGGGGTTGACTCACCTTAATTTTTCCCTTAAAGAAGGAAAATTATTAATTATTTATTATTTCTTAATTCTACTGCTCGTTGTGTTGATTTGAAAATATACGATATGGATCATGAAAACAATTATCTCTAAAAAGATAAAAATAACCATCAACATTGCATTTTCTTGCCAACTAATCGGCTTGTAGAGGCCTCTTGTTCTACTTTAACAATGTCATTGTATTGTAAAGTTGTATGCAATCTATAAGGAGTTGGAAAGTTGTGCATGGCTTTAAAGTGTACAAATAAGACTAAATACTCGATTTACAGGACAAGAAAATATTGCAAAGATAGTCAAAAAAGTATATAAATATATATTCGAAAGGATAATTTCAGATAGGTTTATCAGTTTTTGATTCAAATAGGTTTATCAGTTTTGGATTGAATTAATTATCTACATCAATACAATGATTCCATTCAAATAATAATATTTGTGAATAAATACATAATTAGTTCAAGATCATCAGGACAGTACATATTTTCAAATCAAGATTCGTAATCGCTGCTTATATTTTCTTGGAGTGAGCAATACATAATGTATTCCTCCCCAATAAAAAACACAGTTTATAAACAATTAAATCAAAGTATATTTTGTTATTTCAGTTTAATATGGCGTCACCCGTACCGATATGCGATATTTGTATGACAGATAACATAACAAAATCTGCCACTGTTTGGTGTTCAGAATGTGAAGAAGCCATATGTAATGACTGCGAAAGACAACATGACCGCATGGGTTTATCAAAGAACCATAAAACTACATCTATTAAAGATTACCAGGAACTGCCTAGTTCTGTTGCTGCTATCAAACAGATATGCAAAGGACACAACTTAAAATTCGACTTCTATTGTGCAATTCACAATGAACCATGCTGTGTGTCTTGCGTTACGGAGAAACATGGCACCTGTCTTAAATTGGAGCCATTATCGGAAGTAGTGAAAGGAGTAAAGTCGTCTGCTGCATTTGCAGATTTAGAAGAGAGGACAAAAGACATCAGCGCACTAATTGGCGACCTGATAACAGAGAAAAAAAGTAATCGAGCAAGTTTTGGAGTTCAAAAAAATAAAATCATTTCTGAAGTTCAATATGTCCGATTGGCAATTAATAATCATTTAGATAAACTTCAAAAAGATCTTTTGAATAAATTGGGCGATACGGAGAAACTGCAAAACAAAACTATTGATAGTTTTATTGAAAAGCTCTCAGACATGCGTAAAAATGTTGAAAACATATCTGGTGACATGAAAAAATCTAAGCAACACGCGTCGAATTTCCAAGCATTTCTTGGTATACATGAATGGAATAAAAAAATTGAGGCAGAAGAAAAATATTGGATGTCTTTACAAACTGACCAGATAATGGACACTTTTGACATTCACATACAATACTCGCCGATACTTATTAAGTTCGAGACAGACGTCAAAGAATTAGGGAAGTTAGAAGTAAAGTCTTCTTCTACAAAGAAAATTCTTCTAAAGAAGGAAAAACAGGGACAGATTTTCGTCCCTGTTTCTAACACTGTAGATAACATTAAACTGACAACACTTTGCTGTTTCCAGACACCAGTTGTAGCACCCAGTACCATAATTATAACAGGTATCGATATGTTTGACGACGAGAGAATCGTGTTGGCAGATAACCATCTGTTACACAACAGACTTGTTATCATAAATCAAGAAGGCAAGTTCATCAAAACTATACAACTTAAGTATCAATGTTTTGATGTTGCAGTGATAGATACAGACACAGTTGCAACAACGTTAATTGATCAGAAGAAAATTTATATCATTGATGTTAACTCGTCAAAGGTACAAAGGTATATACCTACAGGTGACAAGTGTAACGGTATAACTTATTCAGGTGAACAATTAGTCGTCAATCTCATCAACAATACCATTCAATTCTTCGATCTTTCTGGTAATACCTTGTCAACTTTGTCAACAGCCGATGCCTCCGTATCTTGTTCGGTGTTGAATGACAAACTTTATTATACAGCACACAAAAGTGATACCATATACTCAACTGAATTGAATGGAGAAGTTCGTTGGAAATTTAACTGTCACAAATCAGATCATCCGGCTGGTATAGTAAACGATGCCGCGGGAAATATTTTTGTAGCGTGCCGGAATAGTCACCAAGTTGTGGTATTAGGACAAGATGGCAAGAAATCAAGAATCCTCTTGACAAAGAAAGACGGATTGAAACAACCTAGAGCAATACATTACAACCATAAAACTAACATACTCATCGTGTGTAATGTGTCCGGACAATGCTTCCAGTACAAAGTTACAAACTGAATTATTTTTGGTTAAAAAAACGTTTGTAGCAAATCATCGGTGAACACTTGCTTTTCTTGTGAGATATTGTTTTAGTGCAAATGTTTTTTCTAATGACAAAGTAGAATACCTTTGTAAATAGCAAGTCATTGAAACAGATTAGATGTCCTTGAATTAGAATAAATATGACCATGTACTATACTCTTGTTAAAATTGTTTGATTGTATATTTTATTTTCATATATTTTCATAGTGAAATTTGAATATTTAGTTATCTTATTCCTAGAAAAAGTACAAAACAAATAGAAAACGGAGACATTGTTTCTATTTAATAATACACATTTGACACTATACTTATCATTATTTGTTTCTTGGGAAAATTAGTATGTTATTATATTGCTTTTTGTAGTTTGCAATTTAACAGAATAGATTTCTGGAAATAATAACGTGTCTTGTTCATTTTGTTTTGTTTTTTGTTTTGTTTTATGTTGTGTTTTTTCTCTCTGATTTGTGTTTAAGAATAAAAAAAAAATATTTGCATTCTAGTGAAGCAGAAATAGAAAACAAACAAGTCATACCGTGGTTATGCTCAAATATAAATCGCATATACACACTTTTATTGGGAAAAAAACCATAGTAAAAGTCGTCTTATTCAGAAGAAGGAATATTTAAAGACCAAACAGCCTATTCAGTTCAACCAGTGATTTTTCCTTAAAATTTTGTGTGAAGGTATTTCAGGACTTTAGTAACAAAATATGATGAAAATAATTTGGGGTCACCGACTTTGTTTTGTCACTATAGCAACCTCAGTTTCGTGTTTTCCCTTGTTTAACATGATATTTTCTTGTGTTTTAAAATTTCAAAAAAATCCCATTATATCAAATCTACAATCATAATTCTTGTTTCACGTTAAACGGTAGATTTTTATCTGTTAATTAAAGATTAAAGAGTTTATGTTTCTAACTGTTTTGATCTTAATAAATATGATTTATTTCATTCCCGCCAAAAATAAAAAGTACATTGAAAGAATGAAAAACGTTTCCAGTATTAAAAAATACCTACCAGTGATTTCTTCATAAAAATTTCGAGAAGGAAAGCACTTTGTGTACTGTTTCAAATAAAGCAAAAAAATGGACATGTCACCGACCTTTCAAAAAAATAATGAGTAATTTTTATGTTTTTTTTTTCTCGTTCGTTTTCAAAAAAAGAATGTTCTTTCTTCAGAACATTGAATCTGACGTCATAGTACAAGTTTCCATGCTGGCGTACTATTCGAAAAAAAAAAATTGCATATTGGACGTTTGAAACCCTCATTTAAATTTTTAAGAATTGAATGCTTCTTTTTCATATATTTATTTGGGTGTAAAAGCGTTGACCCAAGAACATTTTGTGAAATTGTGCGCACGGTCAACGCTTCTACAACCCTATAACATTACTAAAAGAAGCATTTAATACTTGTAATAACATGTTTTTGCTAGGATCATGAAAACACGATTTCTTTCAAGTTTTTCTTTTGTTTTTGACCTACTTTATTATCCGGTTTTACAAGAGATCACATTTATGTATAAGTATCAGATCTCATGATATTGTTGCAACACAAAATTAGCCTTCAGAAACACCATCCGTTGAAAGAAAAAATTGTTCGAAATAACCTTTTACTCCGCTTTAGAAAGGAAAGTTTGTGTTTGCCCTCTCCATTTCATTAGCAAAATTATTGAAAAAAAAGTGAAAACGAAAGATGACACTGGCTAACTTATATACTGTTTGACTATGTTAAACTAACTAGATGTGAGTTTTTTTTTCGTGTCACTTTCATAAAGTTGTCCTAGCGTACCTTTCTGTTTACTCCTTCGCCACTGTTGTGTTGACAGACGGACAGAAGCACGGACGGACTTCGTTACACCATTTTGTGTCCCGACTAAGACGAGCGTATCAAAATTATGTGGATTTATTCTGAATACTTCAAATATACGGAAATTGAAATTATAGGTATTATAGGTATATATAAATTAAGTATTTAAAACGTTATACATCCATTTGACCTTTTTTAAAATACGATCTCCGTTATTACTTTTTCCTGGGTTTTTAATAAATGTGATAGTAAATATAAAATACAAATAAATTTAAAAATTAGTTTAGAATACAACAATTTTCATTTAAACTAAATATTAAATAATTTTGGAAATTAAAACAAAGACAAGGTTGCATGTATACAATTGCCAGCATTGAAAATCGAAATTTGTTTTCGATCTTTCCGGTCATTTTAGCTTCTCTAAAGGTAGAAATTTAATGTTGGATTCCCAGAGCAATCGTTTTTCTCATAAGTTTAATTTACAACAAGTTTGGTTTTAGTAGACCTTAAATTTTGATTTGAATTCACATTCACTGAGTATTGATTTCTTTAATTTTTTGCCTTACGATTCAGTGAGATCAAGAGAAATCTTTATCCTTTTTCCTTTAGACAATTCGAAATGAAACAATTAAAAAAAAGACAACGAACCTTTATTATTTTATTTTTTTTAATAAAAGACATTATTTTACGAGAATCATCCAGAGAATCAGTAAATCTCAACATGCATACGGTGCCAGCAGATCGAAACTACAAGAATTTTTTTTATCGGCCTAACCTCCTGAAAACTAAATTTTGAAAATCACATAAGTTCAAATTCTAAGCGAAAGTCATTAGAATTTACCCATGTACACACGTAAAAATATCAAAATTTGTATTTGAACGTTTAATGTTATGCAAAGTTACAGATAGTGTAGACAAGTATCTTTTGTGTCCATTTGTGTTTTATTTTCACTAGATATTTAGCACGGCAATAAATTCTACCCTTTAGCAAGACGCATTTTACGCGTACACTACATCCATCGGAATCTGTGATAAACGCGAAATAGAACGCTATTATTTGACGTTTTTTTCGTGGCTAGAAACAACTTCATAGAGCTTTTATGTCACAACCAAGTTGTGCTAGTTGATGCGCATAAACAAAAGACTGTTTTGGTCTTTAATTCTTCGCGTGCATGTTATAACATCCGATTTTTCAATGTCAATTACTCTCATTGAAATGACAATTGAGAGTGCATACGCTAAAATGTTTAGCTTGCTTTACTGTTTGTGCTTTGATTTTATTTCGAAAGTCTCAAGATCAAGCTCTAATTAAGATATCACATACAACAAATATTATCGGCATTTCCTGTGCTGATCTGTAATTGTATAACATGCATATGTATGTTCTGTGACGAGTTCAAAAATAAAGTATACTATAGACCTGGCATCCTTGACGAATTTTAGTCTAGAAATGAAAACACATGTTCTGATATTCAGGCCTAGCTTATGTATTTAAATTGTGCGTTATGAGGTAAGGTCAATTTCCCGCAGTGAAACCTCTGTTTTCCGTAGGCTAGGCTTTGAATACAAAAAAGAGATCGTCTAATCGAAAGATGGCATTCAATTTGAAATATGTCTGACACACAAAAATATATAACTTTGATATATCTCTGTTCAGCCATGCTCTAACCTTGTCTATGGTCAGAAAAAATTTTTGAGGTGTAAACATTGTTTAATTTGCCAAATATTGTGCTAAAGAGGCATGGTTGATCTATCATGTAACCTAGGCTTTATTCTGAAACGTTGAAACGCCGAATAAATGAAGCGTTAACTTGAGGTGAAACTAGTAATAACTATGATGGTATAGAAATTGTAACTGCTTTCTCATAATTTCTATATAGATTTATATTTTCAAGGAACTTAGTAAACACAGCATTGACCTTCGTGCACCAGGTTTTTATATGAAGGAAGACATTTATATAATTTTAATTAACTTTCTCAAGCTAATGCAGTAAATTAAATGTATTTGCGTATAAAACGTTTATAAACGATTCGATTTCGGTATAAGCAAACGCAAAAGTTTAATCGTAATTTAATCTATATCAGCAACGTATAAACGTATGTTTGTGAAACAAGTACTTTTGTCTATAGGTTAATATCTAATTACCAACTGAGATGACCTCCGAAGACTGCATACGGTCATATAATCCCATATCAACATAAATATAAATAGAAAGCGACCACGTGCAATTGCATTTTCTAGGTCTGTTTGATTTCATATTGTAGGTTAAAGGTGTGTTTATCATCGTATTTACCTGTAAGAGAATAATATTTTGTGGATCGAATCAGTCAACCAATTGGTCCATCCTTGTTTCAGTTTCAATGTTGACATTATGTTTCTGTTAATAGCTGAATACATGCGTAACCCATCTGCAGCTAAGGGGTTAAATTGACGGTCACATGAATACGAACTATATGAGATCGATATACGTGCAGTTCTTGATTTGCAAACATTTGACAGGAACTATTGCCAATACTCGACCCTTTGCTTTATAGAATTAAAGAAATATAAAAGAATGCAAGTTCAAAGTTCTTTACATGCTTATAGGACATTAACGGCTATATTCTAGTATCATTTCATTAAGCAACGTCACATACAGCGAAGAAAATCAAAATCTTGTTTAAAACTCAAAACAGTTTTATTTAGAATTTGAGAAAAAAATAAAAAATAAAAAAAACGCCAGGACCAAGTCACTGATAATAGCGAAACTCAGTCGTGCTTTTCCCTGCAACGGTGGCCGTCTTCAATGTTTTAGGGTTTATGAGTGGGTCAGTTTGCGCAGAGCTTTTTATAGTAATTTAAGTATATTTTGCAAGCATTTGCAATACATTATTGGCAACCGCTATGGCATGGATACTTTTTGGCTCCATCTCATTCATTGTATATAATTTGGTGAATATAAACTTATCATTGATTTTATATGTAATAGTATTAAAAGAACGTAAAGCGAGACATAATGGCGTCATCGTTTTATTAAATCCATCAATCAACAAAGTCAATTATTTCTCAAAAATAGCATATGCAATGATTAGACAATAACAGTTTAATCAAAACCTTTTTCAAAAAGTCTATATGTCTTGAATAGAAACAAATCTTGAAAGTTATGCTCCACCTTAAATAATTAAAAGATAACCGTAAAAGCATCGTTTAAAATGTGTCAATGCTTATATCAATACAAAAAGCAGCTAATCGTTGTCCATTGCAACAAGAGAGATTACTGTGTCCCATTGCTTATCGAAACCGACATAAAATTGTGTTCTCAATTAGCAGAGGCTAGGAGAACATATCCATGGTTTTATTCGGCATTTTTTTTCTGTAAGTTAGTTAATCGATGACAGTGGCTTTCAGTACATTGAGAGTTAATCTATATCGGTATTG